TGGCTAAGACTTTGCGAAGTTTTAAAAAGAGATACATAAGGCTTGAAACATTTCCTCATCAGCATGTGGGAATTGATGAGATGCTGCACATGTCTGCAAGGGATCATCAGAGTCTTGCAAATAAAGTCCCCTTGGAGTTACAGTATCTCCTACAGGACCACACAATCTGCCATTCTGACTAAATTCAACCAAACAGTGGGTTTGACTGATCTTTGACTAAACTGACACATATGGATCCACCTTTTCATGTGTTCTCTGCCTGTCTACCTTGATTGACATGCTGTAAGTCATACATGTACCATATGGACATTACTTATTTCATCCAGGTAACTAGCTAACTAACCAACGAACTTCTGGAACTTACCAGACCTCTTTGGGTATCTGTTTTCTCAAAAATACTCTCGAAAGGCCTCTCTAGCTGGGTAATTTCGTATGAATTCTCTATGAATTAGATGTGACTGGAAGATGTGGTCATTCTAATTTATTCCTACTTATTAATATGTGGTAAGATTAGCATTTCTAAACCTGTGTGGAGAAGAAGTAGATAGGCTACAGAAGCCGGAGGTGGACCCAGAAGCTACTCTGTGAATCCAGTATCTTTCATCTGCCATAAGCTGCATGAGGAAATGGACTCCAAGACCAACCACAGTATTCCCATCATTTATCATCTTTGCCAATTTGCTGGTTATGTTACCTCAAAATTGTTTTTTTTTTCATTTCTCTTGTAAGTGATTTGTAGTAATCATGGTAATGACTTGCAGAGTTGTTTTTTGTTTTGGGTTTTTTTTGTTTTTGTTTTTGGAGAACTATACTCTCTGACTGCTCTTCCATTGGAGGAAAAAAAGCCACAACTGTAAAAAGCATCTGGTTTTCTTCTAATTTGTGGTCCAACCTTCTAAATTCAGATCACATAGCCATTTTGAACTTATTATGGAATACAGCATAAGATATTGATCTAAACTTAATTTCTGCCAAACGTTTCTAGTTTTTCCAGTGATTTTTATCAAATAGGGAGTTCTTACCAAAGAAACATTTCTTCTCAGGTTTATCAAACACTGGGTTATTGAGTTTCTGCCTAGTCTATTCCTCTGATCTACTTTTCTATTTTTTAACCAGTTGCATATAGTTTATGCTTTGTAGTATAATTTTACATCTGGAAGTGCTACAGTCCCTTCATTTGTTTTTCCAATGGAATTTGCAAACAAATTATTTTAACATTCTGTTTCAATCTGAGCCCCCTTGTTTAATCTACTTCCTCTTCAGGACACAGGTGAAATCAAGCAGCTTGGTCTAAAGAATGTTTGTTTTGTTTTGGTTTTTTTTTTGCTTGTGTCTTAAAATGTACACCTCCAGGACACGTGGATTATTCATGTGATTTACAGCCAAATCAATCAATCAGCCAATAAATATTTTTTAAGCAGGCACTAACTCGGAACAGAATCAGTAATCAAAAATACTTCAGCAGAATAGAAATAAGATAAAATGTAAGACAAGTGCCTAATGGGTCAGGCCTTGTACTAATATACGAATAGAAAGAGTCTCTGCCCTCAGTCTGTTAGGGGAAGACTAAAAGGGAGCTAAAAGGAAGCTAAAAAGGGAGCTAAAAGGGAGGGGAGAAGGAGGAAGGTACCTGGCCACAGGGGATGATAGAGTCTAGTCCAAAAAATTCAGCTGGTGGGAAATGAAGTTATGGCTGGCTTGAAAGGCCTCTTTAAATGCAGGCTTTAGGAAGAGTTCTTTTTTTGCCCTCTAGACCTCCAGTCATATTGGCAAAGGGTATTGAGGATACAAATGAGGTATACGTACCAAGGCAGATACAGTTGTGCAGGAGAATGATGAATTTCCTGATGATGAGGTTTCTCAGAGCCTTGGTGGTATCCACCTGGTGAAAAATGAAAAGGATAAGTGCAAAGTCTTCTACTTCTGTGTTACAAAATCAACTGCCTAAGCATAAGGTAGGTAGAAGACACTTACATTTATGAGCTAGTTATAGTAAATTTAGGAAATTTATTGGAGTGCAAACCAACAAGTCAACAATGTGACTCAGCTGCCACCCAAAAGCTATTGGGGTCTTTGGCTGCATGAACATGTGTATGTATGCATATATATGTATATAATATATACACACATATATGTGTGTATATGTACACACACACACACACACATACATATTTCAGAACAAGGGATGTAATAGTTCTGCTATATTTTGTCCTCTTTAGAGCATATCTAAAATATTATGCTTGATTCTGATCACCACCATGCTTTAACAGGGATTAGATGGAATACAGCTGGAGCAGGGTGACCAGGATGGAGAAGGGTCTAGAAACATGGCTTATAAGGTTGGTTGAAAGAACTGGTAATTTTTTAGCCTGGAAAAAAAAATATAAAAATTGAGAGGAAATACTTGAATATTTGAAATACTGTCATATGGAAGAACGATTAGTCCTATTTTAGGTAGCTCTAGAGGGCAGAACTAGGACAAGGGTAAGGAAAAAACAGAAAGGCATACTTTAGCAAAACTTAAAGAACTTTAAACTAGAGCTGTCCCAAAATGGAGTGGTATCTTGTAACACACTGTGTTGGGAAAGTGTTAAGCATAGGATAGGAAATTGATCAGAATAATCCCTAGGGTGTGTCATAGTGGAAAGACAGCATTGGTGTAGAGGAGAATGCTAGATGAATCTTGCTTCAGGAACTTACTGTGTGACCACAAGAAAAGAATTTACTCTGTCTGAATCTGTTTCATCCTCTTTAATGAGGCTGGTGAGAAACAGTTTGGCATAGTGGATAAAAAGCCAGACTGGGAATCAGAAAGAACTGGGTTTACATGTTGCCTCTGACATATACTGGCTGTGTGACCAAGGACAATCACTCAAGCCTTCAGTGCCCCAGGCAACTCTCTAAGACAATAAGTTATGGTTAAGTTCTCAACTTATTTTTGTGGAAGGATTTTGGAGGGAGTTCCCACACCACTGGATTCCCTGCTCCACTGAAATCACAGGCAAAAGAGATGGAAAGGATACCTATAGTACCTACCTTTCAGGGTTGTTGTGAGGGCTCAGTGAGACTAATTTGCACAAAGAATTTTGCAGTCTTAAAGAGCCAAGTATAAGTGTTGCTGCCTTTATTAAGCTCCCTTCCATCTAGAGGATTCTGTGATTCTATGCTACGTGCAGAGTCCTGTGTTAGTCATTGTGGAAGACAAGACACCATCACTGCCAACAAGGAGTTTAAAAGGTAGTTATAGAGACAAGAGACAAACATGCAAATTCTCAAAAAGTCCTTTACAGAGCTGTGTGCAGTAAGTGTGAAATGGATGGTATAGACTCTAAGTTCTGTAGAGCTCAAAGGAGAAAGGAATCAATCTGGGTTGGGGAAAATGACATGAAGAAAGTATGAGAAGAGCCAGGGTAGTACAGGAAAAGATACCGGCTCTGGAGTCAGAGAATTTCGGTTCAAATCCCACCTCTGAAACTTGCTACCTCCCTGGGCCTCAGTTTCCTCACTTTCTTCCAGTTCTAGAGCTATGATTTTATAATGGGCTGGCCTCAGGTCTCTTACAGCTCTAGGTCTGTGGGCCTGTGATACGCTAACTGTATTTTTTAAAAAGTTTGAAGAGGGATTTGGCTTAGGCCCACAAAGCAGAACAAGGAACACTTGGGGGAGGTTTCAGATGGGCATTTTTGGGATCAATGTAAGGAAAAAAGACCCTACAGTTAGAGCTGTGCAAGAGTGAAATTGACTTCCTCAGGTTGTAGCAAGTTCCCTATCACTGGAGAATGTCAAGAGGAGGCTGCATAACCGCTTGGCAGGTCTTTTGTAGAGGGGATTCCTATTCAGGTTCACACTAGCCTCTGGGGTCCCTTCCAACTCTGTGATTCTGTGATTTAGGAAGATTAATCTTGTAGTGGTATGCAGGGTAGCTGATTGGAATGAAATGGATTGGATTTTATTAAAAGAAACAGACTGGAGGGAAGAATCACAGAATTTCATAATTGGAAGGAACCTCAGAGGCCATATGGTCCAATGTTCCTGAAAAAACAAGTCCCTGCTACAACAGGGATATTCAGCCTTTTCTTCAAGAGACTTATTGAGGGGAATCCCCACTATTTCACGAAGCAGCCCATTGCGTTTTTGCACAGCACTAATATAAGAAGCTTTTCCTTATAACAAGCCTATGTTTGCCTCTTCATAACTTCTACCCATTGTTCCTCATTCTTCCTTCTGGGGCTAAACCCTCTTCTCTGTGACAGCTATTCAGATACTCTGACAGCTGAGTCTGTTCTCCACCAGCCTAAACATCCCCAGTTAGAATTCCATTAGAACAGCCCATTAGAACAAGTACAAAATGTTAAGGACCTAAATTCAGTAGAGTGGTGGAACAGGAATGAACAGGAGGAAATGGATGCTAGTGTTACTTCGGAAGAAGAGTCAGTGGGGATTAGTATGAGAATTAGTATAGAGAATGGGGGAGAATGAGGAATCCAAAATGACCATAGTTTTGAGTCTGAATGATTAGCAACATGGTAACACCATGAATAGAAATGGAAAGTCATAAGATAGAGCCATTTTGGGAGTAGACATGAGGTCATTTGGGATATGCTATTTGAGGTAATGGAACATCTAAGTAGAAAACTAATAGGACAGTTGAAGGGAAGAAGGGCCTTCCAGGCAAAGAGCTGGGAAAGCTCATGTCTGTGGTCAAATAACAATCCATTTTGGTTGGAGCACAGAATACACAACAAAAAAACCACATGGTTAGAACTGAGAAAATGTTCTTTCCACTAGACCAAGAAACCTGGTTAATCCATAAGCAAAAATAACCACTGGATCACCAGTAACTGACAGTATATCCATATTAAGAATAACATTGACTATCTTCTGAAATTATTTCCTTATGTGGTTATGAATCCTGCATGGAAATTTTCCCAGACAGGTGCTCCAGAGTGATTGACATGCCATGACTGACTTTTTTCTCTTCTTCCCCTGCTGTCCTGTAGACCCGATGATGTGCTTCTGAAGCGCACCCATGATGAGATCGTCCTACTGCACTGCTTCCTCTGGCCCCTGGTGACCTTCTTGGTGGGAGTACTTATCGTGGTGCTGACCATCTGTGCCAAGAGTCTGGCTGTCAGAGCTGAAGCTTTGAAAAAGCGGAAGTTCTCCTAAAGGGAAATGGCGCCAGAGAAAGGATCCAAAGATCAAAAGGAGATGAGGGGGAGATGTGTCATACACCACTCTCTTCCTCATCACCTCCTCAGCCCCTGCAAAGCCCTGTCAGCCTCTTGGGAAATGTGAGTGTGGCCAGTCTCCCAGCAAGGACTCCTATGAGAAGGCTCCATGAGTTATCTCTGGAAGGCTTGTCCTCAAAGGCAGCGAGAATGAGCAGCCCAAAGACTCAGAATCACACGTGTTGTATTAGACATTTCTGAGCGATGGCTAACGTGCTGAGCTCTTAGCTATGTGGAATGACCATTTCAGAAAATCCTGTAGATTTAATTTCATTTGAAAACAAACAAACAAACAGCATTCTACCATTTGGTATGATGTAGAATACAAACCATCGTGACTAATGCTATTTAAAATATTAAAGCAGAGTGGTCTGATTCTTTTTTAATGTCTGCTTTCTCTCCTGAATGCAGAGCACTGAGAGGTAAGGTTCTTTTATATTTCATATAATTCTTGTGGATCAAAGTTTCATTTTTCTGTGAGGATTTCTGCACAAAACTGGACCTAACCATACTAACCTCCGTTATTTCTCTTATAAAATGGTAGTAAACATCTGTCTGGAGTAATCCCAGTCCCTTCATTAAAAGCAGCCCTTAATTCTTAAAGGTTGGAATAGGAATGCATTTCTATTGGCACCAGTGTTTTTGTGACACTTAAGATGAGTTTTTGGATTAGGAAGAATTCTCCTAAAACCGAATTCCCTCTGCCCAAATATTGGTTCATGATAGAGATCTTACGAAGAGAGAGTGACTCAAACGCTGTCTTTCCACTCCCAGAAATGTTGGGATTTATTAGGTATCCCTTGTGTCAGAGTAACTCTGTGTGTGTGTGTGTTTGTAGGTGGGGGCAGAGGAGGTTCTCTCTTCTCTTGGCTGATATGCCCATACTCAAGATACTTGCAGGGCATCCATCAGTATCCTGAAACGACCCTTCCCCACCCCCTCCTTTTGGAGGCTTACTGTTCACAATATGACAAGAAAGTTTTAATGGAAGAAGGAAAGAAACAAAACAGAAACCCTTGAATGATCATTAATCCTAAGGATCAAGTCATTTACTAGATCCAAAACTAATGTGGATTGACTAGGGCTTTGCTCCCAGGCAACCAAGGTACTGAGAGAAATTATATTCTTTTAGTAGGAAATAATTGAGCTTAGAATCTAATTAATGAAAAGAGTTTGTCTAACAAGCATTTATTAAGCACTTATGATGTACCAAGTACTGTGCTAGGTCCTTGGGATACAAAGCAAAAATGAAAGTCCCTCACCCTCAAGGAACTTATATTCTATCTAATGAGAGATGTACATCTTAGAGAGGGCATGCTGGCACACCCTGGTATAAGCATTCCCACTAGGCCTGTCTCTAGAAGCATACAAATATATCAGTACATATACACACGTACAGAGCTTGAGACAGATGTGCCAACACACCCTGGGATGAGCATTAATTAACACTGGCCGCCTTCTCCTTGTGGCCACTCTCTTATTCCTGCCTATGATGTACCTAAATAAATTTATACAAAATGAATACAAAGCAACTGGGGGTGGGGAGAGATACTAGTAGCTGGAGGGAACAGAAAAGTCCTAATATAGAAGGTAGATGATACTTGAGCTGAGCTCTGAAAGAGAGTTGGAGATGAAGAGCAAGCACATTTCAGACATGAAGGGCAGCCTGTATGAAAGCACACAGACTGGTGATGGAGTGTTGTATGTGTGTAAGAAAGAGCTAGAAAGCCATTTGACAGGCCCACAGTATATATAAAGGGAAGTAATATGACAGTGGAGGGCATTAAGGACCAGACAGAGGAATTTTTATTTAATTCTAGAGCTACAGTTAAGAGCTACTAGAGTTTGATGAGCAGGGGAGTAACACGGTCAGGTGTTGTTTCAGGCTTGGAGCACAGAGTGAGGGAATCATCCACTTAGAGATAATTAAGACCAAGGGATCTGATGAGATTAGCAAAGCAGAGAGTGTAGAGAAAGGAGAGGATGCACACTATAGAGGTGTACATCCACAGTTGTGAGGCAAGATATGGGACATGGTCCAATAGAGACTGAGGAGGAGTGATCAGACAGGTAGGAGAACCAAAAGACAGCGGTGTCATGAAAACTAGAGAAGAAGGTATCCAGTGGAAGAGGTTGGTAAACAGTATGAAATAGTGCAAAGAGACAGAGAAGGTTGAGAAGTGAACAGGATTTCATATGGTAATTAAGAGATCATTGGTAACTTCAGAGAGAGCAGCTCTAGCTGAGTGATGTGATTGGAAGATGTTGCAAAGGGTTGAGGAGTGAGAAGAAATGGAGGAAATGTTGGAGTGTCAACCGGTTTTTCTAGGAGCTTGGTTGTGAAAGGAGGAAAAATATAGACCAATGGCTTGAGATGGTAGAGTCAAGTGAGGATTTTTCAATTAAAAGAAAAAGCTACCGAAAGGGAATGTCTTTCCCATCCCTCCATACCTACTCTCCCCACTCCCCTGCTCCTTTCCTGTCCAGCTGTGACCTGATGCTTCTGGATAAGAGGGCAGGCTTTTTAGCATCAGCTTCTCAGCTGCCTCCAGGTGTCCTAGGGTCTCCACCCAGCTGGAGTCTGTCTCTGTCTCCACACCATAGATGCAATGTCCTGAGACCTTTTCCTCACTTCTGGACTGAATCGTTGACTTAAGGGTGCATCTTATACTTCTTGCCACAGGGCAATTTGTGAAGCTTATTCTGGGTTATCCCAAATTGCCAATTATATAGCTCTGTCAGAGTTGATATTATAAGAGCTCCTCTAAGGAAGGCCCTCCAAATCCCTGTCTTCACCCACAGCTCTCCGATGGTTGAGGTTGTGGTTCTGGGTGTGGGGGGGGGCGCTCTTTCTCCCTGCTTCCTGTGCCCTAAAAGAGGGTTACCCCTTCTACACATCTCAGACAAAATACAAAGCAAACTCTAGGGTTTTCTGTCTTTTGATGCCTTCTCTCCAGTGCAGGAGAAGGGATAAATTTCAAGAGTTTTTCTGGCCTTGTCAGGGCCTCTGATCCCCTTTCTTGGTCTCTTTCTTCTCATTCCCTTTCCTTTCTCAAGCTTCCCTGGGGACACTCCTCACCCTCACTCCCAACTGCACCTCACCACTCTTCCAATGTCTCCTAATCAGTGTGAACCAAGATAACTTAAACATTTTTTTTATGTTATGGTTACCTTTGGCAGTCTGACGAAGCTTACGGACCTCTTCTCAGGACGATGTTTTAAATGCATAAAACAAAATCTGTACGATCACAAAAGAAACCAATTGTTGAAATATTGTTTGAACAATATTTTTTAAAAATATTTATGGACCCCCTGAAATCTACGCTAAGAATCCCTGACATAGGACAGACAGCAGATCCCTGCCTGGACTACCGCAGCTCTTCTCAGTACAAACAAATAAATAAACAAAACAAAACAAAAACTATTGCATTTTTTATCTGGGTCACTCCACTCAAACACATAAGGTCTGCAAAGCACTTCATTTACATTATCCTATATGAGCCTCCTAACAACTCTGAGGTATGTGCTATCATTGTCCACATTTGGCAGATGAGGAAACTGAGGCTAATGAAGTTACATGGCTTGTCCGGAGTCTCCTGCTAGCAAGTATCTCAAGTAGAATTATGATCCATGTCTTCTTGACCTCAGGTCCAACACTGTATCCGTGATACCACTACTTTCCCTTTTATTAATAGAAAATAAAGGCAAATGGGAACTAAAACAATTTCTACTGTTTCCCCAAGAGACAAAGCAGGCTATTCAGTTGTTGTGGTCGCAGCTTTGTTAAATCTGTGATTCTCCTTGTCGATCTCATTCAAATTCTCCCGTATTTGACTGGAACAAGACATTAACAGCTCACATTATGGTAGGTAGCTGGGTTTAAGATTCAGAAGATTTCAATTCAATTGATAGGTTGAGAGTTGGAGGATTTCTTAGACATCCTCTAATCTAACTTTCTCATTTCACCAAGAAGGGAATTAAAACAGAGACATGATTATGACATTTGTGCAACTTGTCCCCTTGACATTATGCCATGCTGCAAGAAGATAGCAACGTGATGTAGTGGAAATAATGCTAGATTTGAGGTCAGTTAATCAATAAATCTTTATTAAACAACTATGGTAACTCTTCTAGTAGCTGTGGGGTACAAATACAATAAACAAAGTAGCCCCTGTACACAAAAAGATTATATTTAGAGGCCCTTTTCTCAAATTCCAGGCCTACCATTCATTACCTGTGTCGCTGGGCAGGTTACTTATACTGCTAGCCTCAGTTTCCTCATCTGTCAAATGAAGAGTTGGACTAGATGGTCTAAGGTCCTATCTAAATCTATGATCTCTTGAGCTAGCTACTCTATTTTGACTACAGTTTGTGTTTTTCCTGAAGCATCCTTGTTTCCTTAGTAGCTAATGGAAACATTCAGCATTGTATTTGAGCAAATGACTGAAAATCTCCCTCCCACAAAAAAAAAGTTGGAACCTTGGAGTCATTTGTCAAGGAGTGAATTGGTGGTATCCATTGCATCCATTTATGTTTGGAATGATTGTGGCAGTGTGTAAAATTTTCTGTCTATAGAAATCTCTCAGTAAAGGAGGAAATAGAATGTGACTCAATGATCAGGACATTCAATTCAACAGTTGGATTCTCCTCAATCTACACTAGTTAAACTTTTCATTTTGGGTCCAAAGATTTCATTTTCTGGATGCTTTTGTGAAAATATAACAAGCAAATTGGTTTTTTTTTTCAAATATACCTTTGTATGTTCCACTTGTCTTCAACCAGTTAGAATTATGGTTCCTAGGCCCTATTAGAAAGTAACCATTTCTAGTATGATGTTATATTGGTTTTTGGTTATAGGAGACATATAAAGAAACCAGAGAGACTGCATGATATAGTAGACAGAATGCTGGATCTGGAGTCAAGAAAGACCTGGGTTCAATCTGAGCTTGCTCTGACACTGTCATTTCTTCACTTTGAGCATCAGTTTCTCATTTAAGAAGTAGGGATGATGATGCAATGAGATTAGTGGATTTTCCGCATCCCAGTCACAGTAGAAATCTAAATACCATGATTTGAAGCACTGAAAAGGCTTGGATACTCCTTATTTGGTCAGTGCAATTTAATAACCTGAATTCTTCAAAGTTTGGAATTTATGACAAGCATCCTTTTTCACAACATCCAGTCTTTGCCTCAATTTAAATTTCACTGTATTTCTTGCATTTCTTGCAGTACAAAAAAATGAGATAGAACAGTGTTAAGAATGTTGTAACTTACCATGAAGGGGTTGAGTAAACAGGTACAAAAAGGAACCAATTGGAGGTCCAAAAAGACATGAAAGTAAGGAGAAATTCAGAGAAGTCATGTGAGGTGATTGAAGAATCAGCTAATCTGAGAAGATTTTGAAATTAGCTATTGTGAAATGTGCCCCAAGGTTAGAAGTGCAACTGTCAACAAAAGTTCCAGCATTAGTATAGTAGGAACAAAACAAGATTAGATGGGGGTAAATTAGAAGAATATCCCTTTAAATACTCCAGTCTCTCTCATTCCTGAATCTGAATTCTCATGACCTAATCTTTGACTCCACCTTAGCTACACATAGGGATGGTCATAACCTTGATCTCACCATCAGCTACAAATGTTCCACTTCAACAGTAATTCCATCTCTCCTATTCCTTAACACTTCCTAAGCCTATTTTGTTTTTGTCTTCACTAAAAACCTCCAATCTCTCCATCCCTTGGAACTCACCCAGGCACTTTTTCTCTAGCCTCACTTTTTTCCCCTCCCAATCCCTATAGTTAAACACTTCAATTCTTCATTGCCCTCTTCTTTCAAATCCATTGCCCAGATGTCCTATCAATATTTAAGGCTTAAACTCTAACCCTGAATTATTCTCACCATCTGTTTCCCAAGGTCCTACTCACATGCCATTGAACAGAACTAGTAGCAGTCATGCAACTGAACCAATTAGGACCACTACAAATATACATTATATACTTTCAACCAGATCTTCAACTCAGTAAGATGATTCTTTTATTCCCATGTAATTGATTCTCTGTCCTACTCCCTCCATAGGTTGTTCCTGATTCCCCATCCTCTGCTGAGGATCTCACTTCATACTCTATTATAAGAATCTCAATAAGAATATAGAGACCACTGCCATATGCTTCCTCTTTTCTCCTTCTTGCATCTCAAAACTCCTTGATATTGTCCCTCATTCTTTCCTTCTTTACTCCAATCTCTGATGAAAATATAACTTTTCTCCTTGTCAATCCCAAACCCTCTTCATATATCCTAGATCCCACTGCTTCCCATTTTCTCCAACACATTGTCCCCACAATCAAACTCACTGTCTACTGGTTTCTTCCCTGTTATATATAAGCAATGTCCTAGGAAAGGTGGTCTATAACCTATTGCTCTCCTCTTCCTCATTTCTCCACCCTCAGCAATCTGATTTCCAATTTTGTCACTCAACTGGAAACGCTTTCTTCAAAGCTACCAATGATCACTTAATTGATAAATCCAACACCTTGTGTCTGTCCTCGTTCTTCTTGATCTCTTTCTGCTATTTAACTGTTGATCTTTCTCCAGGCTATTCTCTCATCTCTGAATTTTCATGGCAAGGCTCTCTTGGGCCTCATTCTACCTGGCTAACCACTCCTTAGTCTCCTTTGTTGGTTTATCATCCATATCACACACTCAGCTGTCAGGGAATGATCTCATCAGCTCCTATAGGTTGAATTATAATTTATGTGAATGACTAACAGACATAGATATCTAGCACTAGTCTTTCTACAGAGCTCCAGTAGCAGATCTACAACTGTTTATTGGATATTTCAGCTCAGGCCTCCATCAGCTTTCATCTGGACTATTGCAAGAATATCCATATGTGTGTGTGTATATATATATCTCCTCTTCCCTCTTCCATCCATCCTATACACCAGAGATATCAAAAATAGACTGCATGTGGTCTACAATACTCCTGAGTAATTTAAATGTAATATGGAAATATTTAACAAAAGAAATAAAAATAAAAGAAAGCATACATAACATGGTTTTCTAAGTCGATACATGGCCCACAGGGATCCTTATGTGTGGCTTACTGCCCCCCCCATTTCTATTTGAGCTTGACACAACTCTCTAAATAGCTGCCAAGGTAATTTTCCTCATGCTGACAGCCCCCTACTTAATGAAACTTTAGTGGTTCATTCAATCTCTAGGATCAAATACACGCCTCCCTGTTTGTCTTTTAAAGCCATCTAGCACTTGGCCCCTACCTATCTTCCCAACCTTATTCTATATTATTCCACTTCTTATACTCAATGTGCCGACTATCTGGCTTTGTTATTGCTCCTCACAAATGACTCTCTGTTTCCCATCCCCATACTTTTACACTGGCTTTCCCTCGTGCCTGGAATGAACACCTACCTCACCTCTGCCCCTTGTAAGACTTTGTTTCCTTCAGAAGTTTGCTTAAGTGCCACTGTATACATGATGCCCCTCTGGATCCCCCCAGCTACCAGTGCCTTCCCCACCAAAAAAAGAGTTTATCTTTATTTTGTATATAGTCTGTATATATTTATTTGTGTATATGTTGTCTCATAGTAACTGCTCCTTGAGGGCAAGGCCTTTTATGTTTCTTTCTGTATCCTGGGCACCTTGCACAGTGCCTGACACATCGTAGGTACTTAATAAATGTTTGTTGATTGACTAATTACCCAGTATTATAAATTTCTGTGGTCCTATAGAACAATGGTCTCCTGGGACCAGGGTGACCTATTTGCTCACCAGTTGTTATTAAATCATCTTATAGAATCATGGAAATCATAGAAAGGACCTCAAAGGTCATACAGTCTAACCAATACTTGAGCAAGAACATTCCAACATTTTCAGGTATTCATCCTGCTTCTGATTGAAGACCTTCAGTGATGAGAAACCCGCTATGCTCCCTTAATTCTATTCCATCCTTGTGTTAGCCCCCAAGGAAGCCAACTAAATAGATTTAAATAGATTTAGTTAGGACATTCTTCCTCATAATGAGCAAGAAAAAAATCTACCTTCCTGTACCTTCCAAGGCTAACACACATCAGGAAAATCTCAAAGCTATGTGGGAGGGTAGCTCTGTGCAGGGATTGGGGTCAAGCTCTCTCGTG